GACCTTGAAGCTCCAATGGTTTCCTTCTTGTTCACTACCCCTTCCCCCAACTCACTTCTAAAACCTGTTATTTGAAAAGGTTTTGTCCCCATTTACATGTGTATATGAATAAACATCAAATTAACAGCTTATTCTTTCTCAGGACCATTTGCATTTTATGTCTGAGCATTTTCTGTGACACAAGAGTGCCTATTTTCTCCCCACTACTCCCAAAAGATAATTCTGGTGACAGAGAACAAATGGGACTCCCTGCAATCAACAAATATCCACAACCTCTTAAATGCTCTCATCCACCTACCTTATCCATGCATTTCTTCTCAAGACTGATTTCAATGATGTTTGCTGACATTCAGTCATTACCCTTTATTATGGCAGGGAATTTCTTGCATCCTTTCATCCATTTATTCACTCAACAAACTTGTTTTGAATATTCTCCATATGTTAGAAATTTGGGTAATCAAACACTACTTGGGACCTGGCCTCAAGCAGCTTGAAGCTGAATGCAGGAAACATCACCTTCACCACTGGTTTTTAATACAGGCAAAGCATAGTCAAGTAGCTGATAAACAGTAGGTATTCAATAAATATTGCTTCTCAGGGCTGCACTATATGGTCACTGTGGTGGAACACGGGAATTTTCTAAAGACCCTTTCCAGGTGGACAAGAGTGCCAGCAGGAGTGGGTGGTGATGGTGATTTCTATCTTGCTTTAGAATGTTATGATTTGTTTTGTAAGCTCCAATGTCAGATTGAGATGCATGCAAAGGAGAGGGGTTTATTCTAACCAGATCAGGGCTAGAGGCAGCCCAGGACACTGTCTCCATGGTGCACAGCCCCAGACAGTTTGGAAACAAACAGAAACCCATCCAGAGCAGGGAGACTGACAAAATCAAAAACAAACAAAGGCCAAGAAATGGAAAACTCATGAGGTGGGGCAGATGGAGAGGAGGGAAGTGGGGAAATACAGTGGGGCCTGTGGAGAGGCCTTAGGGAGGGGCATGGTCCTGGTTGGTTGTTTTGCGTGTGTGTGTGTGTGTGTGTGTATGTTCACGTATGTGTGCGCGCACATGTGCATTTTTTCTGGGTTTTTTTGTTTTTTTTTTTTTAGCTGAATCCATCTCCTTCCATCCCAAGTTACCATGACAACAAGGAGGTTAAGTACAGCTGATTCCAAGTCAACACAAATATCCTGGACTTAGCAGCAAGAATGGACTCAGATGTGATGGGGCCATGTTCTAAAGAAAAATGTTTGAATTGGGTCTCTAAATCAAACGCCCACTACTAGTGGGCGTTTAATGACACGAATTAATCAGAAATGATAGTGAATCACAGCTCTCCTACATGCATATCTACACTACCCAGAAGCCCACCCATGTAAAATTGCTTTCCTTTGTGGCAGACCCTGATGGCTCATGGGATTCTTGGCACTTCCCAGAAGCTGGTCCTTCACCTGTAAGGTCCACTTGCTACCCCTCCCTGGGCTATGTCCCCTGACAGTGGAATTACTTCCAGAGGGCTGATGGGGTTGCTTTCATAAGACCAAGGCAGCTGTGATGTGAGGTAGCTCCAACTGAACCACCATCTGGTCTCCCTGACATCAGCAGTCTAGTGAAGTTCTTGGTCTATTGTGGGGCTTGTTGGCAAGGAGACCACTTCCTTCACCATGAAAAAATGTCTGCAGCAAGAGCCTCCCGAATTCTTACCCTCCAATATGAAAATCTGCCTTTTCTGGAGCTGGCTGATGTGGGGATCTGACTTAGGTGTAGGGTCAGTGCTAGATAAGTCCGTGAGTCTTTAGGGTTTATCTTCTTCCCTTCTCTTCGTTTCCAGGTACCCAGAGATCTCACACTCTCCCCCCAAATCCTAGTTCAAGATTGACTCATCCATTATGCAGAGTGGGCACAGGGCTTGAAGCCCACAATTACAAAAATGTTTTAATTCCTTTTAAAATCAGAAGAAAAAAGACAAGCTTTTAAGTGAAAGAATATGCTATAACACTGTTTGGAGATTCCTCAAACAGCTAAAGATGGAGATTCCATATGATCCAGTAATTCCACTCCTAGGTATTTACCCAAAGGATATAGAAACATTAAGTCAAAGGGCACCTGCATCCCTATGTTTATGGCAGCACTATTTACAACAGGTGAGCTATGGAAACAACCAAATGTGCAAAAATAGATGACCGGATCAAAAAGATGTGCTACATATACACAATGGAATATTACTCAGCAATCAAAAAAGATAAACTCATGCAATTCGCGGCAACATGAATGGAGCTGGAAGGGATCTTCTCAGCAAAATAAGCTAGAAAGAAAAAGAAAAATACCATATGGTCTCACTCATAGCAGGAATTTAGAAAACCTAAATAAGGGACCAGGAAAAAACCTAATTATAATAAAGTAAAAATCAAAATCAACAAGCAACTATAAACCAGAGACGCACTCAGGGGGGAGGAGGGAGTAGGATCAAAACAAGGGGGGTGGGAATTATATGGGGAATATAACCAAGATGAAAATGCATACATTGTGCAAAAATGAAAAATTATGTAAAAAATGTATGAAATAAAAAAAGAACTAAAATAAAGTCAAAGATAATATGAGATAAATAGATCATCTAAACAGGGAGATATCAAAGTACAAGACAGGAGACTCGAAATAAAGAGATAAAAATTTTGAATAACAACATAATCCAAAGGTACATGAACGAACCAGAGCAAAATGGCATACCTGAAATCCAGAAATACAGGTATCAGTTATTTTTTTAAGAAAAAATGAAATGTTTTTTTTTTTTAATATATATTTTTTTAGTAGGCAATTTTTTTTAAAGATTTATTTATTCATTTATTTATACAAGCATTGGGTATAGTCAGAAGCACAGGAGGGTGAGAGAATTCACCAGAGCCAGAGCGGAGAGCAGAGCAGGCAGAAGGACGGAAGTACACTGCTGAGGGGAGCAGCGGGTGGCAGGAGAGGTCTGCGCGCCATGTGAGACCCTCCTCTGGTGGCTGGGGAGCAGCCAGGGATCGAACCGGTGCTGCAGAGGCTGCAGGCAGCTTCGCAACCCACCGCTCAACCGCTGAGCCACCGGGGAGGCCCAAAAAAATGAAATGTTTTTAATAAAGATGAGGACCAAGGGGAAAAAAAGAAAATGCTGTAACAATAGCAATATTTTCATCTTTATACCAATGCAGTCATAAAATATTTTAATTTTTTTTTAAAGGCAAATTGTCCAGAGCCCATCAAAGTCCTCAAGAGGCCCTAGTTTTCCCTCCTGCCCGTTTCGGCCCTCCAGAATCCAAGAGTTTCCTTCCCACATATCAAAATGTACTGCCTGAATGAATGAGACCCACTCCTCATCCCTGTTTCCAGCAATGAGCAAATGTGACGGAAGATTCAAGCCAAATCAGGGGTTCTTGATTTGAGTTATGTCACCAGGCCTCAGGGAAATAACCCTGGAAACTGCATATTTCACTTGCACATCCATATCCACTACACACGCCACTGACAACACTCCTACCAAGTTCACCAGGATCTCCAACACAGTAAGTCCAACAGATGCATCTCAGGTGTAACTTTTTTTAATGAAAAATACAGTATTATGTCACTTACATATGGAGTCTCAAAGAAACAGAGAACAGTAGCCAACTGGGGAAATGGGGAGACCTTAGCCAAAGGGTCCAAATGTTTGATTATAAGATGAATGAACTCTGGGGATCTAGTACATAGCTTGGTGACCATAATTAACAATATTATACTATACCTTTGGAAGTTGCTAAGAGAACAGATCTTATTGGGCCTCCCTGATGGTGCAGGAGGTTGAGCGCCACACTATGAAGCTATCTGGAGCCTCTCCAGTGCTGGTTCGATCCTGGCCGGGCGGGGAGAAACCCACATGGCGCAGCAGACCTCTCCTGTCTCGCCCGCTGCTGCTCTCAGCAGTGTATTTCTTCAGTCTGCCTGTTCTGTTTCCCACTCTGTCTCTGGTGAATCCTCTCACCCTCCCGCACACCTGGCCCGCACCCCAGTTCTTGCATAAATAAATAAATCTTAAAAAAAAAAGAGAATAGATCTTATATATTCTTACCATACCTACATTTACATATGTAATTGCCAACTATATCAGCAATCTTATTGCAGCAATAATTTTTTATAACATACACATGTATTAAATCATCACATTCTGTATCAGGTATCATTTGACTGCTCAGCAACATTTGACATGCTCATCAAGCCTGACTTTCTGGCTTCCAGACACTCTGCTGTCTGTTTCCCTGGGACATTCTGGCCCATTTCCTTTGTTTTGTTTTGTTTTGTTTTGTTTTGTTAGAGATTTACTGATTTATGCATACAAGAGCTGGGGTGTAGGCCAGAGGTGCAGGAGGATGAGAGGATTCACCAGAGACATTGTGGAGAGCAGAACAGGCAGATCCACTGAAGTACACTGCTGAGGGGAGCAGCAGGGAAACAGGAGAGGTCTGCTGCGCCATGTGGGTCAGTTCACTAGCTGGGGATCAAACTCCTGCTGCAATGGCTGTGAATTGCTTCATAGTGCTGAGACTTAACCCCTACACCACTAGGGAGGCCCTGGCCCATCTCCTTTGCACGCTCATCACCTCTGCTGGGCCATTAAAAACTAATAATGGGGCCTCCCCTTGTGGCGCAGCAGTTGAGCACTGGGCTGCGAAGCTGACCGCAGCCTCTGCAGCGCCGGTTCAATCCCTGGCCGCCGGCGAGGGTCCCACATGGCGCGCAGACCTCTCTTGCAGCGTCCACTGCTCCCCTCAGCAGTGTATTTCATCGATCTGCCTGTTCTGTTTCCCGCTCTGGCCCTGGTGAATTCTCTCACCCTCCCACACCTCTGACTGTACCCAGTGCTTGTATAAATAAATAAATAAATCTTAAAAAAAAAAGTTAAAAAAAACTTAGAGTATTCTTTAAAAAAAAATAAAAATAAAAATAAAAACTAATAATGATGATAATACTTTCATTATCAGCTATTTGCTCTGTGCTGGGCACTATTTTATTATCAGTTTTTTTAATGCTTAAAATTATTTGAAATCCATTCTCCAACCACCAGTCAGAGTGACTTTTCTGAAAACCAAATCCACTCATATCACTTCCTTGCTTTAAACCTTTGGGCTTTCCCACGCCCACAGCTTTTAAGGTTTTTCCATGGTCTGGTCCCTGCCCACCTCTCCAGGATCATTTCTCACCACAGCCTCTTCCTTCATGACTCTCCTTGCTTGTACTTCTCCAGTAAGAACTCCAGGATTTTGCCTAAGGATTCCCACTGCCCGAAACACTTTTCCTCCCTCTCTTTGCTTAACACCGATGGCTCTTTTAGGATTCCATAGAATGTCAACTTTTCTGGGGAGTCCAGGATGGCTGTACAAGTACAGTGATAATGAGAATGACACTGAAACCAGTTTCCCAGGTTCAGCTCCCAGCTCTACCACTTCCTAGCTTCATAACCTTGGGCTAGCTATTAAACTCTGTGACTTCCATTACTTATCTGTAGTGAGGATTAAAGAAATCAGTGCAAGGTATCCCACAGTGCTAACATACATCACTTCCATACTTCCTGACCCTGGACCATATTAAGATACTTTGCCAAGTATCTTCCAAAACTCCTTCTTAACACCGTATATGCCAGCCCATGAATCCTGTCCATCTGCTCACCTTGCTAGACTGCCAGCTCCAAGAAGGCAGAAGCATTTGACTTGTGACCTGGATCCTGCTACTATTTCTGGTGCCTTGCACATAGCAGGTGCTCATATTTGGTAAACTAATGAGTAGAAATGCAACACATACTAGAGATCCTAGTGATGTATGTTCCCTGGCAAATGGACACCTTGAATAAGAAGAGAGGATATGGGGCTTCCCCGGTGGTGCAGCAGGTTGAGCACAGCACTGTGAAGCTGTCCGCAGCCTCTGCAGCGCAGGTTCAATGCCCAACCGGCCAGGGAGATACCCACATGGTGCGGCAGATCTCTAATTGCACCCGCTGCTCCCCTCAGCAGTGTCTTTGGTCTGTCTGCCTGTTCTGCTCCCTGCTCTGTCTCTGTATTCTCTCCCCTTCCCACACCTCTGACTGTACCTCAGTTCTTGTATAAATAAAAAAATCTTTTTAAAAAAAAGAGAGATGTGAAATTATATTCGTGTCTGCTAATCCAGCTTTATGTTATTAAAAACGCAGTACAGGGCCTCCCCTGGTGGCTCAGGCAGTTGAGCGCAACGTTGTGAAGCTGTCTGCAGACTCTGCAGTGTGGTTTCGATCCCAGATGGCCAGGGAGATTCCACATCGCGCAGCAGACCTCTCCTGACTCGCCTGCTGCTCTCCTCAGCAGTGTATTTCGGTCCTTCTGCCTGTTCTGCTCTCTGCTCTGTCTCTGGTGAATCCTCTCACCCTCCCGCGCCTCTGGCCTGTACCCCAGCTATTGTATAAATAATTTTTTTAAAAAAGAGGATACAAGTTTTAGCCACAGGGCACACAAGGCAGACTGGCATTGAGATTGAAAGTAGTTACAGTGTGACTGGATAATTAGGAAAATGCCTTTATTATTTTTGAAGTGTTCCAATATTCCATGTAAAAACCATGATAACAGTTTTTTTCACAACTTCACAAATTATAGAAAAATGGCTTTCCATTTCTCCCCCTCCCCTAAATCAGACAGGGTTCTGTTATGGCTGAAAATCCTGCAGGAGAGAGGGACAGAGAATACAGCAGAAGTGGCTCTCTGGGCAGCCATAGACTTTTCCTGAACATTTAACACCCAGGCTGAGTCCCAAGGACCTTGATTCCCTCTGAGGGGGACATAGTTCCATGCATATCTGTGGCACTAAGGCAGGCCTGTCCCAAGGCCACCAGCCCACAGAAGGCCTGCGGCATGGCACTTGTGGCTGGCAGGCCACAATCAAGGCAGCTTCGTGAGAACAAGAAGAGGAGGCAGGCCTGCGGCTCAAATCCCTTTCTCTCAAATGCGGCCAGGAAAGAGACTGTGGATGCTGGCCAAATGGTGCTCTTAGTTTAGAAATTTCCCCTTTTCCTCAGCTCACAAAGACTAATTTTTCAAACAGCTATTTAAAAAAAAAAAAAAAAAAAAAAAAACAGAAAACAAACAATTGGTTCCATTTCAGCTGTAATCAGCAGCTGGTAATTTTTAGAAAAAGACAACTTGAGTTGCTCATTGTTCAGTTCATTTTTTTAATGAGGTCTCTGACTCCTTTCTTACCCACGCTAGGGGGAGGGGGTGGTTACAGCTGTAGCAGAAGGCTGTTTGTTGATCTGAGAAAACTGTGAAAATGTTTTGCACTCACATTCAAAGGCTGAAGGAATTCAAAAACAATCCCACTGACTTTTATGAGAAACATGACTGTTCCTCTTGGGTGTCTCAAGTCAAAACAAGGCAACTGCCTCGTGATTTATAGTCCCCACTACACATTTTCCGCCTTCCAGAAGGCATTAGAGAAAGGTCCAGCGTCTGCCAGGAGCAATTGTAAACACACCACTGACAGCTTGGACATGCTGTTTTTAAATGCAGCAGGACTTTTTCCTTTGGCCCTAGCTGAGAAGCCAACTCCCTAGGAATGTTTAGGAAGGAGCAGACAGGAAGGCTCCCCAAAACTTAAAGAGTGTGGGACCAGTGGGCCCCCTGACCAAAATGTGGCCTGGAGCATCATCAAAGGCAATCAATACATTTATGGCATATGAAATTATCCGGTGGTCCCAAACTGATCTCCAGGCACAGCCCGGCGAGACGTGGGGCACGGAGGGTCGGAAAAAAGTGGTCATAAGGCACATGGCTGAGGCGGCCCCCACACCAGGCCCAGAAAGGTTATCTCTTCGCACGATTCCAAAAGTGTTGGAAAGCTGAGGAGTTGATGACACTCACTATGAGCAGCAGCAGCAGATATAGGGATATCATGACCGTAAACCAATGGCTGGAAAACCAGGAGAGCTGGCTTGAAGCCCTGCTTAAGGGGGAAAAAAAAGTGACGTTGGCAAAAGGAGAAAAACATTTTTTTTAAGTGTATGCAACAACTTCTGGCTTAAAGAAGACGAAATGATGAATTTCATCCTCTGAGCGAGTCATGAAATGAAGTTTCGTGCGTGCTCCTTTGCTGGAGAAATCTGGGGCTGCTGGCGCCGACACTGACACGCCTTTCACCAGAACATTTTCTAAATGTACAAAGACAGCTATGCAATGAGCTCATCCTGATCTTCGCTTTTACAGCTCCTCTTGTACCTTTTATAACCCCTCTTTTCTTAAGCAAGACTTTGGTATCTAGAAGAACAACCTCGCTCGGGGTGTCTGTCCAGATGGCAGCAGGTGATTTAACAAAAGTCTTTTCACTTGTAGACATGCACAGACATCAATCCAAGCGAGGGAAATCCTCTTTGGCCCACTGGGAGATGATCTAAATCATCCAAGAGTGCTCTAAAGAGACACTCCAGGGAGAAGTAGGAAGGAATGGAATTTTCAAGTAGAAAAAGCCAGATGATATTAAACCAAAGGCTAATGTCCACCAGACTCGGAAATCCTATAAAAATTTCCCAGATTTGGAGGGGAAAGAATTTTAATGTCTATGAAATCCTCAAGTGTAGAAACCACTGGCGTGTAAAAGCAGGAGTAGGGAATGTGAAGTGACTCCCTTTCCTGACCTACTACTCATCTGCTGCTCACCCCTGTGAGAAGCTCTACCGTGGACCCCAACAATACAATGACATCTCAAAACGACCCCTGACCCTGGAGAGCCCAGAACATCCCCCCATGACCATACTGTGGAAACATGAGGCATCCATCATGGTTCCAGGAGCTGGAAAGCCTCACCTGCTGTTGGGCTCAGCACCCTCATCTTGAAGATGAAGATGAAGCAGCTCAGGGCCAGAGGAGCAGGCAGTGGTTCAGCAGCCACTGTGGGAAGTGCCGAGCCGGCCATCGTCTAGTCAACACCCTGCCTCTCAGTTGAACGTGACTGGTATTCAGACAGCAATCAGAAGCTCAGTGGCTGAGGGGCCTCATGGTTGGAGCAGCCAATTTGGCTTCATACAGTCCCTCAGGCTAGTTGTGTTTACGAACCTCTCTCTTCCGCCCCTGAAGAGCCAGTCCTCATGGAACCAGCACCACCTCTTATTTGATCTATAGTCCTTACCGTTCCCCATGCCTCCCACTGTGCTTTAGATACTTACATATATCTGGGGTCTAAGGCTGGGGGATAGGGCTAAAGGCTGCCACCTTTAGTTGTCCCCCAGGACCTCACACAGGGACCATCCTTACCTCTTGGGCTGCTTCTGCGCATACACTAGCAGGTACTTCACTCTCAGGAGCTGGTTATTGGTGACCACAAAGTACTTGGGAGGGATGTCTCCCCCTTCACTGTGTTTAATTCTCGCCCTCCTGCGATCTATCTCCTTGGAATCTGGTAACAAGAGTAAAGCACAACTTTACTTGCAGAAGGAGGGAATACAATAATAGAAGAAGCAAATTATGAAAATGAACAGAAACAGATCAAGTCTCTTGATCCTGAGAATACATAAGCCTCAACAGGCTGAAAAAGCGGCACTAAAAAACAGTGACAGACAGACCAGGGTAGAAAAAAAAGAACAGAAAATATTATAAAAGAGAGACAGGGAAAAACCTCAACCGAGTGAGAAAATAAGAGGGAAGAAGCAGATTAACAGCAAAAACAATAATAATCTGGGGTGGGAACGGAGCAGGACTTGACCTGAAACAAGTCTCTTAGCAAGCATTTTGAATTTGTCAGGCTGGATCCGAGCCTCTTAAAACACTTATATTCCACCCTTTGTGCTAAGACTTGTTTAAAAAAATCCAAAACTGTTCTTTTAGTAACATGAAAAAGCTTTACCGAAGGGGGGAAAAAAAAGGCCAGAGCTTCGTGACAGCAGACATTGCAAGGTTTTGTTTTGATGTTTAATGTCACTGTTTGCAAGCTTCCTAAGAATTATAAATGCAAATATATTCATGCTGTCTGGTTTGGAAGGGTGGCGTCAGACCCGGGCCGTTCCTCAGATTCCAGTTGGTTTACATTAGAGGCCAGGAACAGACAGTTTTCTCAATTTTCCTTATCTCAGTGGAACCAAAAGTCCGGTTCGGGAGACTAGAATGACAGCTCTGTGATTCTTCCACCTTTAAGCAAAAAGCAGGGGGCACAGGGCAAACATGCTAGTAAGGGACATATGAGGTGGGGTGGGCAGTGGACTGCTGGCAGGCAGCTAGTCATCTGCTCCCTGGAGAGTCAGGAATTTGCTCCCCAAGGCCTCATTTGCCCCTCACATCCTCCAGGGACTCTGGAACACACCAGAACAGCCGAGAAGGACAGGGTCTGGACCTACATCTTTAGCTTCAGTTTAACAAGTAATTATTGGACTTCAAATATGTACCCTGCTCCTTGCTGATAACAGGTACCTAAGAGTGAGTAAGACTAGTTTCTGCTCTGAAGGGGCCCGTGCTCGGGCCTCATACATGTTAATCTCATCTCCTCCCCAATGTTTTCCCTCAGCACTTGGCCCCACCATGACTACTTTTTCTCTGAGCTGCCTTTGTAGATGTCACAGCCCCCTCATCTGGCACGCCTTACACACTGCCCTGTATTAAGTGATATAGAGTCCATTATGTGTTCAATCCCTAAGGAGACTACTCACTTCTTGAAGGCAGGTCCCTGTCCCATACTGCTCTGGACTCAATCTATCTCTCAGCAGGCAATGGGAACTCCACCCAACAGCTGGGCCAACAGCAAGGGCGTCAGCCTAGCGCCTGGCCAAGCACTCACTCACCCTTCTTCTTGATTTGGCACTTGACATCTGGATGGTCAATGACCTCGCACACAGCCACACAGCTGAGGATGGGGCCCAGGAGGCTGCGCTGCCACCCATGGCCGTGAGGACTATAAATGAGAGCCAGGCTCAAGTCACTGGTGAGGTAGGTCCCTTCTCCAAACAAGGATGTCTGGAACAGCAGATGCCAACAGAGAAAGAGGACGTGATGAATGCAGAGCTGGCACAGCAAGATGACACAGGTGTTCAATAGAATCGTACACACAACATTTTTAAATCTTTCTTTTCCCAGCAAAAGGCATAAGATCAAATAATCCCATGACATCATCATAGATTTATTACTAAATACAGTCTTATCTGACGACATTTTAACTGATTGTGAATGTGGCCAATTAGCTTGGTGAACTATTAGTTCTTGCAGTCAAGATTGAGAGGGAAAAACATAGGTATAAGAGTCCAAACAGACCTGAATTGAACCCTGCTTGTACCCTTAACAAGCTGGCAAGTTACATAAACTATCTGGGTCTCAGTTTCAATGCTGATAACAGAATCTCCTTCATAAAGTGACAGATGAGGAGTCAATGAGATAATGTACACAAAACATCCAGCAGGAGCCCTGGCACACAAGAGAGGCAGGCAGTGTATGTACTGTAGCACATACAATAATCCCTTGTGAATGTATTAAGCATTTTATATGGGCTTGCAGAAGCAATTTCACACACTTATATTTGGGGAGGGAGAATCATACCTGAGGGGTCGGTAATGTGTGTCATTACTAAGAAAAGAACTGAATGTCTCAGGCCAAAAACTGTAACCAAATAAGAAAGGGTAAGTTTCACTCCTTGTGTAAGCACTGACCAAGAAAATGTCCAAAAATCTAGGATACAGCTCCCTGATGGTAGGTGTTAACTTGGGGGCCTCCCTAGAAAGCATGCAGGTAAAAGAAAAGGATCTCAGGTGAAACATCTGCAATTTGAGGCTGTAGCAGTCAATAGCAAACACATACTTTGCCAGTGGTCGACATCAATAATTTGCCATATGGCCAACATAAAAATGTCCATGATGGGCCCCCATTCACACTGACTCAGAATCCTTCTCAACACACAACACTCCAGGTAGCTGCTACCAATGGATGGAATCTGACATTTGAGTTGAGGTTCAACTGTTATCCCTGAGCCACAGTAGCAGTATTTCAAGACGACAAGTGGACTCAAACTGCACACTGAATTGAGAAATTAGAAATTGAGAGGAACTGAAAATTAGGAATTGAGAAATGGCCTATTCAGTGATACCAAGCTTCCATAAAAGCCAATTAAGTGAAACTTAGGAGAAATGAAATGAGACATTGTTTGGTCTTTAGGAAGCCTTTTGCCACGCAAGGCAGTGTCCCCATGCTTCAAAAGCTGACATGGACATTGCATTTGCCTTGATCTGACCTCACAGCCATTCTCTGCTACATCTGCCATGTTTGTGCCCTTCCCTAGACTTGAGAAGCAAGAACAAGGCTGCTGTGAGCAAAGGTGTCCAAGACTGTGAAACTAGAGGTACCTCAACCATGAAAACATATCACAGCTTCAGCTGATAGGAAGGCTCTCTCAAGTCCTTGACTGAAATCCCAAACAGAAGAGGCCAGAAAGCATACACTTTATCCAAGGACTCAGCAGATACCTCTAATCAACAAACTCCTGGGGCAATAAAATGAAGGTTTGGTGTTACAAGAACATAATCTGCAGGCAACTTCTCCAGGTCAACTCTGGTGTGAAAGGGGGGCCTCTGGATTCCAGTAGCCTGACCATGACAATAAGCTCAGAGCCAGTATAAACAAATCCATCACCCTCAGCAAAATCCAACCGCGCTAATCAGATGCAGCAGTGATGGGAAAGTCTCCCTAGCTCTGGTGCTGCATCAGCCCCAACTGAACCTGTGGATGATGGAGCCAGCCCTTCAGATAAGGCAGATGCTGCCACAACTGGTGGAAAAGTCTGCAGCTCTTCAACTACCCCTGATTCCCTTGACAACACTTTCTACAGGAGCTACTATGTCCTTGGTGCCTAGGGAGGGAAGAGCCCTGTGCACACATGTACTGTTTCAGTCCTCTCAGCACACCCGAGGACGGTCACCTTATCCTATTTTACAGATGACACTGAAGCTCATTGCCCAGGGCCACAGAACTGCCAAGGTAGTCTTTTTTGGTCCCTGTTTGTACTCTTCGTCTACATATGATTAAGGGGCAAAATAAGTGCCAGCAGAAATGGGTGGTTAACATTGTTTTGACTCCTAAAAAAAGGGAAGGAAGGAGCTAAAAAGGGAAAGGACCTCTCCTTAACAAATTCTTCAATTTCTCCAATGGCCAACTTTGTTGTAATGTCTACAAGGCAAGTGTTACCCAAACTTCACTGTGCATATGAGGCACCTGGGGGTCCCAACAGAGTGAGATTTCTATCAGATGCCCCAGGGTGGGCCTGAGATTTCACATTTCCAGCAAGCTCCCAGGAGATGTGGAGGCCTCTGGCCCAGAGAGCACATATTCACTATCGAGGGTTGGCCACACACCGTGATCACCTGTGAGCTTTTCAAGTCTACTTAGGTCTGGGCTCCTTTCAGAGTTTCTGATTTGATCAGCTAGGATATAGCCAGTCACTGGGATTTTTAAAAGCTCTCCAAGTGATTCAAAATGTGCATCCAAGGTTGGAACTATTTTTAAACTGATGCTTCTCAAACTGTAAATGGCATAGGAACTACCAAGGAGTCTTATTAAAATGCAGGCTCTGGCTCATACAGTCTAGAGGTGGGCCCAAGGTTCTGTGTTTTCACAGGCTCCCAGGTGGTGCTGCTGGTATGCTGTGGTCAGCAAGGCCTGAGTGAACCTACCCACCCCTACTTGCAATACCCCCCTCCCAGGGTTCTGATCTCCCTCCCCCATTCCCACCATATTATCAGGTTTAGGCCCCACCTTGTTCAGGTGACAGTGCAGGCCATTGTGGATGATGGAATGGAAGTTTTCGAGGCGGCTCCCATGGAAGGCATAGATTAGGTCTCGTTCTCCTTTGGTCTCATAAAATTTGGCGTTCACTGGGTCAGAGTACTGGATTTCAAACAGAAAGTCCGGCACGGGGACAGGTGTGTGAGGAGCACCAGTCAGCTTTTGGATCTTTTCAAACTTGAAAATATGAAGGAAGCCACAATTTTATTTGGGAAACTGGTAAAATGTGCTGACAAAATGGCGCCCTAAAGCCTTGGTCAACTCCTATGGGCTCTATCAAGAGAACATATGCTTTCATGAGAACAAAGACATCAATTTATAAACAAGCTCAGAGCTCAAGATTGCTCTCCTCTAGTGTTTTTCCTTACAGTAGGGTAAGGAGCAGGACTTGCTACTTCCAACAAAATACTTCTTATTTTCATAATACTTTCACATCTATTTCCTGCATTTCATCTACAATACTCTCAAGAGATACGAAGTTAGGATTGATTGCAAAAATGGCCCCAAATGTTTCCTTCCACCCCAGTCCATACACCCCTCTGCAATGTGACTTTGCAGGTGGAATTCTAGCAATATTCCATCGAAAGGTGGAATCTACATCTTTGTCCCTTCAATCTGGGCTTGGCTATATGACTTGTCTTGGTCAATGGGACCTTGGTAAACCTACAACAAACATAGACTAGTCATTCCTTGTCTGCTAGTAAGACAAGTCTGTTCTTTGTCTTATTAGCCTCTGTAAGGGAGAGCCTCTAGAAGAGTACCCCAGCCAGAGAAGCCAGCCCAGCTGAAGCTGTGGACATGTAAGTGAGACCACCCTTGATCAACCAGCAGCTTGCTTCCTATCCTAACCCTTCCCATCCCTCCATACAGAGCCACACAGAAGCAATCAATGTTGTTTTAAGCCACTAGATTTTAGGGAAGCCTTGTTGATACAGATAGGTAGGCTCCTTCCTAAAAGGTAATAATCCTCTTCAAGGCAAAGACCACATCATTCCCATGATTTCTAAAGAATAAACACAGACCATAGCCAATATGTTCTAAAGTTTTCTCTGAATGGTGATTAAATGAGGAAAAGAAGGGCAAAGTAACAAATACTGTTATATTGATGTCAGGTTGCCATGAAATGTCCTTTATTCTGAGGTCAGGACTATCCTCCATGTTGGGGCTAAAAATCCTTTTATAAAATGACAATATATGGTAGGTTGATGTCTTTACTTGGTCAAAATAAAAAGCTGATAATCCTGGGCCCAACATACCATTTTTAATGGAACTTAACTGGTCTATAAGCAAAAGTCAAGTAGCCATTGCCTTATCTACTTTACCTACAGTACCAGAATGGCCTCAGTACTTGATGCCTATACAAGATCTGAATAAATCACAATTTAACAACAACAACAACAGAAATTAAAAAACCTAGGGATCATCTAGGAATTATCAGACCAGCATAAACTATGGGTCTCTTGACTCTGATTCAGGGCTCTTTATGTTTTACCATCCAACACAGACAGACATCCCTAGATACGAGAATCTTGGATATCAAATTTTAAGCTGCTTAAGGGGATTTTTGTCTTTGACAAAAGCTTATAAGCTTGAAAGTTCTTAAGTTTGATTATTGATTAATTTGCAAAGAACAGCACAGATAAACTCCTAAGGCCACTCAGGAACTAACACCATATCAGGAATCCTCTAGCCCTTGTCATCCCACTCTGTGCCTGGAAGATCCCAGTGTCTGGTCTGTGGCAGAAACTGTACTGGGAGTGACACACATTTTATCATAGTGCCCCTCAATTTATAAATAGGGAAAGGGAGATTCAATAATGGATAAAAGTGGGTTTTGAAACCAGGGCCAGAGGATTTCCACACTTCAGGCGCTGCTGTTTCCTGACAAGTGAACTTGACCAATGTCTCTAAAGGTATGATCAAGGGCCTAACCTTGTCAGAAAACCCTGGGTGCTGATACCCAACATTTACCGAGTCCCTGAATATGCCCTTTCTAAGTGTGAAAATTCATTCTACTCTCACAGCCAGTCCAAGTATATTATTATCCCCACTTTATAGTTGAGGAAATCAAGGTGCTGAAATGTACCCAGTAACCTGCTCAAGGTCAGACAGCTAGTAAGAGCGAAAACACAGCTTAGTAATGTCATGTGCAAGTTTCTGGGCCCTACTGCAGACACAGAATCAGAATCTCTGGGGCAAGGTCCCAGGAATCTGCATTTTCAACAGGCTCCTCAGGCCATTCTGGATCATAAGGAGGCTCCAGGGCCTGCCAGCCTTAGGAATCTGTGACCCTACAGACCAAAGTCTCACCTTTGACTTCCCTGTACTGTGGATTGTCAGGACCTTTGAGGATAAAATCCAGCTCACCAGGTCCCAGGACCGTTTGTCTTTGTCTCCGGAGGACTGGAGCAGTTCTTTCAAGTTGGGTAACTTGCTAGCATCGGCAAGCTGAAGTGAGGAAAAACCTCCATTAGACAAAATGATAACCAGGGGCCCTCTAGTGGTAAGGCCTGTGACTTGCACTTCTTTCCTCTCAAGGGATTTCCTAAGAGGGAAATGCACAGGATTATAGAATCCCCTTTCCAAACATACCAACTCCCAGAGCTATGAACCTTGAAAGGTTATTTTGAAACTCATTTGGTATAAAACCTTGATGTGATTTTCAATCTTTATTCCACTTCTTGCTACTACTGCAGCAGTAACATTAATGTCTGATTATGGGTTGACACCTCACTGGAAGTACTACCAAATACATGGTATACCAAATATAAACAGCAGAAATGAATTTCCCATTAACCTGTTACCCTAGAGACTAGATAAAGGCAGTATGGCAAGTGTGCATGTAACTTGTCATAAAAATGACCCAGAATGGTAAACTGCACCCAGGCAGGAAGTTAACTGCATGGGAAGGCATGGTTTTGTTTTTTCTCGAGCGTGGTGACATTTTGTGAGGATCCTGGCCACTGTGTCTAAGCATTCTTACAGGAGTTCAGCCTCTGTGGCTTCACATGCTGAAGCAGCTCCTGTACCCACCCGATGCAAATCTCACCTCCTTACCCCAGAGCCGCTCTTGGGGGCAAAGACTAACTTCTGCACCTCTGTGAGGACTTCTGCAGAAACGGGATACCTGCTGCTGCCCTGCTGAAAACCCTGATCCAGCCCAGAGCCTTCTGATTGAAGCTGGCCCTAGGGTGGCTGCAGTAGGTTTCTGGGTGGGATAGTTTAGTTGTCACTATAGCACCTTTCTAAAATTGGAAAGACTCTGAATTCCAAAACATATGTGTGCCAGGATTCCTGATAAAGAACTCAGGCCCAATATTTTCTTCCCAGTATGGTCAGGACTTCTGGGGGCCAAGAACTATCGATGGGGCCTCCCTGCTGGTGCAAGGGTTAAGTCTCAGCACTGTGAAGCTATTGGCAGCCACTGCAGCATGAGTTCAAGCCCCAGCCAGGGAGCTGACCCACATGGTGTGGCAGACCTCTCCTGTCTGGCCACTGCTCCCCTCAGCAGTGTATTTCAGTAGATCCACCTGTTCTGCTCCCTACTCTTTCACTGGTGAATCCTCTCACTCCCTGCACCACTGGGCTACATCCCAGTTCTTGTATGCATAAATAAAAAAATAAATCTTAAAGAAAAACACATGGGTGTGTGGATGTATAAATTCTCCATGAGTGTTGGTGCTACATAGTAGGGAGGCAGAAAGGTAATGATTTTGATTTAAACCTATTCCTTGTCATGACAAAGGAAAGTGATGTAAGGGGACCAGGCAGGACCTTAGTTGGGTAGAAGCCTGGGGTGGACAGCAAAAGTGTGGCAGAGGATGTGCTGAGTGACCTGGGTTTGATGTGCAAAGGCACAGCATGTAGTCAGGGAAGTGGATGGTGCTGTGGTTAATTTGCAGGTTCCCCTCCCTGGTGCCTGGATCCAAACCTGGGTTCTTATTCCCCATGCTAGCTATGAGCCCTAGTGAGTTGTTTGACTTCCTGTGTCTGTTTCCCCAAATATATAAGTGGGATAATATTAGTAGCCACTTCACAGGACGCCTGTGACAGTTAATCACATTAAGCAAGTACAGTGCTTAGAGCAATAGGCAGGTATCAAGTACTCTAATGTTAAGGGGACTGCCAAGATTGTGGTCATCATGAACTGCAGGTTCAGGTGGCGGCCCTAGAGTGCAGGGGAGGGGTCACCATGTGGACCAGGAGTGAGAAGGTGACAAGATCAGCCTGTGAAGGGCCTTGCACACCACCTTCACCCCCCACCCCACCCCACTGCACCAGTGAGGACTTTCATAAGCAAATATGGAGCCACCAAAGGTAACCTAAAGATGTGTTCCTCAGGTGGCCACCTACATGGTCTGCTGCCTACATAGTGCAGAGGACATCTGGAGCAGCCTGCAGCTCATCTTGACCTCTTCTTCCCTTCTTTCTACTTCCGTTTCACACTCGTTCTTCCAGAGCCAGAGCTGAATCTTCTCTCCCAACAGCCCTATGTCTTTCCTTCTCTGTGCTTCTACAGCTCCCTAATAAAACATTCCAGTCTTCAAGGTCAGCCAAAAGTCTCCTCCCCCATGAAGACTTCCCTGATCACTCTTGACATCTGTGCTCCTCAGCCCTTCCCTTGTCAATGCTCTATGCAGAATACTGCCGGTAGTTCACTCTCTCAAATCTGGTTTGGACAAATGCTTCCTGAAGTCCAAACATATCTTCCATATCCTGGAGACCCAGCAGCCAGCTGGGAGCCTGGTATGAAGATCAGAATGAGATAATAACAATTACTATTGGTAAGGCCTTATCATGTGAGAAGTTCTAGCATCATCTCATTTTATCCTCACAAAGGCTTATTTTAAAGGCAAAGAAAATGAGGGTTGGCAAGATTAAGCACCTTGCCTGTGCCACACAGCTTCAGCAGCAGGGAAATGACATGAAGCCAGGCAGCCTGACTCTGGAGTCTGTTCTCTGTAATGCTTTCCTACCAAATCAATTGGAAAATTCAGTAATGGACTGAACATTTTTGCCGAAAGGGGCAATTCCAGAAGAACTTGGAGACACTGTTTGAGAAGCTAATCAGGTATATTCCCAGAGTCTCCCACCCACCCCACCCCTAATGATACAACCAAGACAGCTAGTGACTGTCCTAACCTTCTCAAAGGCAGGAAAAGGCGTGTGTATGTGCAGTACGGAGCAGGTGCAGGAGAGAGAAAGCCCTCCATCAGACAAGACTTATGAAGCCCTGAGGAGAATACATGCTGGGTGTTTCTGGGGTTTGGTGGGGAAGGCAGAGAGAGAAGGGTTCATGGGGCAGGGAGGTAAGGTGGGACCTGGTGTGATGGGGAAGATTTGGAAAAAGCACTCCCACTGGGAAAGAGCATGTGCACGCGGACACACAGAGAAGTGAATAGCGCCTGTCCCAAAAGGTGGCCCCCTGACTCAAATGATCCCAGGGCCAAAGAGGTGATCAGCATGAGTAAGGGGAGAGTCTAGGAAAGAGTGGTGCAGGCTATGTCAACAGGGAGGGCCCAGCCACCCACTACCAGCTGTGTGCCCAAGGGTGATCTCCACCCAGGCTGTGCGCCCTCCAATTTTTTCTTATTTTATAAAGAAATCAACAAGCTGCATTTTTTAAAAAATATTCAATTTCTAAAAGGCTAGAGGAGAAACAAAACTGATCAGGTCACAGACCACACTTCTGTTCTGGGGAACAGGAAGGATTTAACTGAGAGGGAGCTGTGGACACTTGGAGAGGGATATGGGCCGTGTCAGAGTCACAAGGGTTTCAGAAATGTCTCTCAGGAAAGAAGTGGATTCAGTGACTGAGTGGCCAAGGGCAAGGAACCACCAAGGGACAGGCAGAGGAGAAGACCAATGAAATAATGCAACCTCCCTGCTGTGAGTCAGGAATAGGCAGGACAGCCCAGGGGCACTGCAAAGTTGCAGATCACAATCTCCTGGGAAGGAGGCCCAGGAATCTGCATTTGCATGTTACCACAGGTGATTCTTATCACCAGAAACAAATGGGAATAACCAGGTTTAGCTGCTAAACAATGATGTCCTAGAAGGGCTGGCAGCAGGAAAAAAGAACATTTTTTTATAATCCTTGTCCAGGAAAACACCAGAGGTCATAATTACTAGATGTGGGTGGAGGTGCTGGAAGGAAATAACCAAAGTTACAGCCAAGGTCCCCAGCCTCAGGGATCAGACAAATAGAACGATACCTGGAACCGTAGGGTAGGTGGGATGGGGGAGCTGGCGGCTGCTGAGTTGAAGGCTGGAAAGGGGTAAGCCCCAGATACAAACAGATACACCTTGCTTGCACAAATCTAAGGTATGAAAATCTAGACTCACTAAAACAAACTGAGGTGAGAGCCTACAAGAGAACTCTTCACAAATGCAGTCATGATGGGAACCCTTTAAAAGAGTGGTTCTCCACCCTGGCTACATGCCAGCATTACCTGGGAGCTGGAGAGTGTCTGCCACTGGCATAGATGCTGATTAGCTGACAAAGACAAAAGTAAGAGAACCTACATACATCACTGAGGTGTTAGGAAGATTAAATGAGTTACACTAGAAATAGCTCAGGACATGATTGGGCAAATAGTGAGTGCTACTGGTATCATGTGATACTGTGCTGTTATTACCACTAACCAAACTAATCAAATGTCCCTCTCTAGGGGCCAAAGAGGTGATCAGCATGAGTAAGGGTCTGCTTAGGAAAAGCCAGCACTTCTGGGATGGCTGGCAAAGGAGGGGGTGGTGTACACTGGAAGGATGGATCCCACCCTGGGTTCTCCATAGCACCATGCCACAGGCTGAGACATCTTTCCAGCCACATTCTCACTGAGAGTCACATCACATTACATCTATGTCCCTATCATTTTATATCTGTATACTATCTCTTCAGATACCATCTTTGAGAGCAGAGAAATAAAAAGGTGATCTGAGAGGCTGAGCACTTTACCTTGAGATATCCAATATGTACCCAAATGAACATTTTATTGACCGAACTGAATCTAATTGTTAAAGCAGATGGTTGCTCATGAAAATGATCAAATCAATAGGAGAAATTTCAAACTACATATTCTCTTCAAGTAAACAAAATATCCTAATGCCCAGATCTCATCAACCTCAGACCAATTAAATCAGAATCTCAAGAGGTGGGACCCAGACATTATTATTTTTTTTAATTTTTTTAGATTTATTTTTAATTATTTATGCATACAAGAACTGGTGTGTAGGCCAGAGGTGTGGGGAGGGGGTGAGAGGATTCACCAGAGACAGAGAGCAGAACAGGCAGATCCACTGAAATGTCCTGCAGAGGAGAACAGCGGATGAGGCAGGAGAAGTCTTCTGCACCATGTGGGTCAGCTCTCTGGCCAGGGTTGGAACTCATGCTGTATGGCTGCTGATAGCTTCATAGTGCTGAGACTTAACCCCTTGCACCACTAAGGAGGCCTCATGACATTAGTATTTTTTAAATCTTCCCAGGTGATTCCAGTATGAATCAATATTGAGAAGCTTATAAAAAATGATCTCCCTCAGTAAATGCCAATACTCAATTTCCAGTCTAGAAATTAGCATCAAAAGTTTTCCTTAGAAAGGTTGTTAGCCTGTGAGTCAGCAATTTCAACCTCTTGGAATTTATCTTAATAACTGGAGACATAAACAATGATTAACATAGAAGGATGTTTGCCATAGCACTATTTGTAAAAGCAAACGTTAAAAAAAAATTGTGAACGAACCCTGAGGTGAGTCGTGGCCCAGCTGTCCCTTAAAGGATGAAGAACAGTTTACCTGGAGAAAGAGGGGGATGGCATGGGGAGGACAGACACGCCCCAGAGTGAGGACAGAGAGGAACTGAGCCTGCTTTAACCCAGATGTCAGCAGCAAGAGAGCCAAAATGGTTAATGGGAACAGGGTAGGCTAGATGTAATGCTTAACAGACCTGTGAGCACACAATCTTGTTAAAATGCAGGTCCTGACTGGTAGGCCTAGGAGGGGCCTGATATTCTGCATTTCTAACAATCTTCCTGGGGACACCATTGTGCTGGTCCTCAACTTGAGTGGCAAAGTGCCCAGAATTAATACAAAGGAACCCTGGCTCCCCTGCCCAGCTCCCACCTATAGGCTAGTGGAGAACTAAGGTATGGTGTTTTCTAGGGGAAAAACAAAACAAAGCTGAAGTTGGAGGTTAATAATCAGGGGTATAGGATATCCCAAGAATGCTCAGATTCTCTGACCTGATAAAGGTTTTGCAATCCTTGTCCCAAGGAACAAGGTCAGAAATCTTCAGACTGGGTGTTCAACAAGCATCCAATTTGATTCCTAAAACAGCTGATAAGCATCTCCCAGGTCAGGCACTGGGAATACAAAGAACTCCCAGGGCCTCCCTTGGTGGCACAGCGAGTTGAGCACAGTGCTGTGAAGCTGTCCGCAGCCTTTGCAACGCGGGTTCGGTTCCTGCTGACCAGGGAGATATCCACATGGCGTGGCAGACCTCTCCTGTCTTGCCTGCTGCTCACCTCAGCAGTGCTTTCAGACCGTCTGCCTGTTCAGCTCCCTGCTCTGTCTCTGGTGAATCCTTTCACCCTCCCGCGCCTCTGGCCTGTACCCCAGCTCTTGTATAAATAAGTCTTTAAAACAAAACAAAGAACTCCCAGTGTAAAATCAAAGAGGTCACTCAGAATAAAAATGTTCTCAAAATGTTGTCAAAAATGGCACCTGATGGGCCTCCCCGGTGGTGCAGCGGTTGAGCGCTGGGTTGCGAAGCTGCCCGCAGCGTCTGCTGTGCCGGTTCGATCCCCGGCTGCTCCCCGGCCACTGGAGGAGGGTCCCATATGGCGCGCAGACCTCTCCTGCCGCCCGCTGCTCCCCTCAGCAGTGTACTTCGGTCCTTCTGCCTGCTCTGCTCCCTGCTCTGGCTCTGGTGAATTCTCTCACGCTCCCGCGCTTCTGACTGTACCCAGTGCTTGTATAAATAAATAATCTTTAAAAAAAAAAAAAAAATGGCACCTGAGAAGATTTGGGGCTTTGAAGACTGTGACAGGATAAATCCAGGGCCCTGAGTAAAGGTTCAGCTGGGGCATGCTCAGAAAAGCAATCATAAAGTAATTCAAGTTAGAGGACAGTTTTTGGAAACTGCAACATACGTGTTATAAGTGTGTAACAACATCTTGTAGTGCAGAGAAAATTAAAATGGCTGAAAGTAATCAACTATTTCACATTACTTCCCAATGCTTTTAGCTAAACAAATGAAAGTGAGAGATTATTAAACAGTTCCTTACCTCCCCTCTTCCAGTAACCACAAAATGATCCAGAAGGTCTAGTCCAGAGTTGATTTCCTTTTCTTTAAAAACTAACCTTTGAGTTAAATACAGGTCAAGATGCCAAGTTCACGGCATCTTTTCTGTAACCCATGATGTATGGCAAATGAAACCTAGATTTAGGTAATAAGAATGTGTGTGCCCCCCTTTGCCTGGGAAGCCAGTCCCATGTGCAGAGAATCTGTGCAACCTGCTGGTTTCCCCATGATGGCACCCACTAAGGAATATGGCAACAGAGCAGGGCAGCAAGTATCTGTCTGTGTTTCTCCAATGGCCCTTGACAGAAAGGGTGCACTCAAAAGGGCCCAGTGAGCCCCATGAGAGAGACGGTCTGTCCCTACAGAGAGCTACCTGAATAGCCCATGCTTTCCTATGGGACTACAGATATGGAGGAATGGTCTTCCCAAGCTGAGAGCACTGACACTATGGGGAGGGATGTGGGAAAGGGTGAGCTCTAACAGGGACACGTCTCCTTTATTGGTATAAGTTGGATTTTTTAATAACAAAAGTATACTCAAATATTACTTACATAATTAAAAATAAACTTTAGATGTTGTAGAATAAATACATTTTTAAAAAGCATAAACAAGGGCCTCCCCAGTGGCGTAGCGGTTGAGCGCTGGTTGCGAAGCTGCCCGTGGCCTCTGCAGCGCCGGTTCGATCCCCAGCCACCGGAGGAGGGTCCCACACGGTGTGCAGACCTCTCCTGCCGCCCGCTGCTCCCCTCAGCAGTGTACTTCGGTCCTTCTGCCTGCTCTGCTCCCCGCTCTGGCTCTGTTGAATTCTCTCACCCTCCCACGCTTGTGACTGTACCCAGTGCTTGCATAAATAAGTAAATAAATAAATCTTTAAAAAAAAAAAATAAAAAGCATAAACAAAAACAATTCCAAATCTCCCTTCGCTTTTTTCCTATATGCTTCAAACAAACAAGATTCTGGGGCCTCCTTGGCGGCCCAAGGAGTTGAGATGCAGTTTGATCCCCGGCCAGGGAGCTACCCACATGGCACAGCAGACCTCTCCTGTCTTGTCCGCTGCTCCCCTCAGCAGTGTATTTCAGTCCATCTGCCTGTTCTGCTCCCTGCTCTGTCTCTGGTGAATCCTTTCACCCCCCACCCCAACTCTGGCCTGTACCCTAGTTCTTATATGTATAAATAAATAAAATCTTTAAAAGAAAAAAAAAAATATTCTGTTTGCCAAGGAGACCTTCCAGAAGAGAGAGTACACTGAACATTCTCACTCACTTTCTTGGTATAAACTATAAACCGCATAGTGGGGCACAATCTCTGGTGATTTTGGTTCATCTTACTCCTCTCTCTCCCACTGCCTACTCCTGTCCCCAATCATCTCACCCCACCACCATAGAGGGCTCTTAGTAACGCATCCTGGATCTCACTAATGCCCTCCCTTGCCCAAAGAGAAAATCTACACATTTTGGCAAGACATGCTCAGCCCTGTGTGCTCATCTCTTCCTGCTTCCCACAACAGCCACATTAATACAATAGACTTGTCCTTCGCAGCAAACTCCTGACTTTCTGCCCATTCTGCCACTCCTCTGAATAAATACCCCTTTCTTCTTCTCTGCTCCTTGAAATTCGACAAGTCTCTAGTAACAGCCTGGCACCACTGCCATGATTAGTGCTCCCTGACTCCAGCCCACTGCCAGGGCCCTGCTCTGGACTTCCCCAGAGTATAGCCAAGCACACTGTTAACCTCTGTATTCTTTGTTAATTCTGTATTCACAGCACCCGGCCTACAGCAGGAACTCCATAAATCTATTGACCAAAACTGAAGGAACTTTCATGCCTAGGCTCCGATATCACAAACTCACAAAATCGAGTATCTGAATTTGCAAAACAAAGCTTGGGGGAAATCTGTTCAGCTTTCCCCTTTCTCTGACTTCCAATCTCTTCCTGTACCCTGAAATGCTTGGGCACAGTGGTCAAGACCTAAGCTCCCCTCAATTAGAATGCAGTGGGCCAGGTGGGGGAGGTCAAGGGGCTGAGCCTTTGCCCCTCAGCTTCCTGAAAGTGATAGCAAAGAGAGAACCTAACAGTGACCACCTCATCAGAGATAATTCTAAGCATATTGATTCTGAATGTTTCCTTTAATCTGTTAATGTGGCTCATAACATTAATGATTTTTTTTAACATTAATGATTTTCTAATGTTGAATTAATTTTGCATTCCTGGGATAAACTCATCCTGTTAATGAGGAATTACTCTTTTTTTTTTATACATTGCTAGCTTCAGATCCTAATATTTTATAGAGGATTTTGACATTTATACTCAAGAATGATATAGATCTGTAATTTTCTTTTTTGTATCATCTTTATCAGATTCAGATTCTGGGTTATACTAGCCACTTTCTCAATACTCTGGAATAGTTCATGTAAAACTGGTATTACTTATTTCAGTAATTGGTAGAACTTACCAATGAAGACAACCAGGCCCTGAGCTTTCTTTTAGGAAAAATATTTGACGATTAATTCAATTTATTCAATAATTGTAGGCTATTTTGGTCTCAGTAAATTATAGTTTTCTAGGTAATTCCAAATATTTGGATTGCAAAGATAACTGTTATCCAGAAAGCTGACCCCTGGGTGAACTCTGCCAGAAATTAAGTGCCTTATGAATCATCAGAAAAATGACTGTTCATATACGTACTATACACGACCTAGAAAAGTCGTGTTCATACAGAACTTGAAGATGGAGGTCCAGGTGACTTGGTGACTTTGGGTCTTTAATTATTTGCAAAGGGACAGACAACTCCCTATTTAGCAGAATCAGTTGCTGCAAATCAACAGCTACCGCTGGCCATGCTAAAAGAAAATTGGGGGGGGCTCACACCACTATTCCTTACTTCACTCCTGGGAATCGCTTGTCTTCAACACGAGAAAACAGTCCTGGAAGACACTGGGGTGTGGGGAGTGTTTTGGGTGCGTGGACACCTTCCCGAGGCCCGGCTGGGGGTGCAAGTCTGGGGCCTGGTATGTTTACAAACGCCGGTTCCGCGGGCCACGTGGCCCGGGCCGGCGCGGGGCGGGGGCGGCATCGGAGCACACTCACCAGGGCCTCAAAGTCCTTGCAGTCGCGGTGGGCATAGGACGCGGGAAAAGGCCGCAGCACAGAGTCGCGCTTGTAGCTCTGCAGGGCCGAGGCGAAGAGGCTGCACCGCAGGTCCGCGGCCAGCACGTCGCGGCCCGCCGCCTCCCTGACGGCCGCCCTGGCTGCCGGCTGCATCCCAGGCCGCGGCCCGTCGCCGGGGAGGGCGCGCCGGTGGGGAGCGGGGGCGCTGGCCCCGGGGACCGGGGGTCGGAGGGGACCGGGCTCCCGTCCGGGGCGGAGCTGGGCAGAGGGCGAGATGACAGGGGTGCGGCCGCGGGCTCGAGCGTCTCCTGCGGGGTTCTGGGCCGGGGCGCCGGCTGCTGGGGGCGGAGACCGACGGCTCTAGAAGGGGACCCTGCCCGGGGCACAGGTCAGGACAGGTGGGGGGCCGGGCCTGGGGCGGGGCTATGACAGGGGACGGGACGACAACGGCGGGAACGTGCTGACACGTGTCCTCCTCAGGGGTCCGGGACGCGGGGCGCCCCCGGGGGACGGCGGGTGGGGCTCCCCGCCAGCGCCGGGCCAGGCTGCGGTGCGGCCGGCGCGCTCCTGAACGGCCTCCGGGTGTCGCTGCCGGAGCCCCGGCGCCCTCCCCGCGGCCCGCGGCCCGCGGCGCCGCCTGCTTCCAGCCAGCCGGGCACGTCCGCCCGCCGCGCCCTGCCCGCCGGAGGGCCCCGCGCCGGCCGCGCGCCCAGGCCTACCTCCCTCTCCGCCGCCGGCTGCCCGCGGCTCGCGCCCCGCCCCGCCCCGCCCCGCGCCGCCCCGGCGCCCGCCCCCCACCCCCCGCCCCGGAGGCCGCGCCCGCCCGCGCGACCCGAGAGGTCCCCGGCTTCCCAGCGCGCGGCCGGGGCGGAGCCGCCCGCGCCCCTGCGCCCCGGGCGCACCGAAGCCCGCCGCGGAAAATGGCACGGGCGCCCTTGGTGACCCGCCCTTGGACTTGCCTTTGTCCCGGCTCGGTGGGCTGAGCCTGCTCTTCTCGCCTAGGGAGATCCTGCTACCGGTTGCCTCCCGCTTGGGCCGTTTCCCTCCCAAGCTGGCTGTGCAGAACCTTTCAACACCCAAGGAAACAGCTCAGAGTGCTGCACTGCTCGCCAGGTTCCCACTCAGCCTGACGAGATGCTGAAGTTCACTCCCAGGTCGTCTGAAAACCTAAAGAACCTTCCTCTGCTTTTCAGCTCCCGGAATTCTCTGCATGGCTAGTGTCTGACCTCTCAGCTAAGATGTTCCTAGTGTTATAGGGCAGCCCCGATATTGAACCCGCGCGCTTAAAAGGGACTTATGAATACTCCACTACAGGCACACACAAAAGGTTCATAAGAGGTTTATTTACAAGGGAAAAGGAAATAAGGAAAATGTACAACTCAGGGAGAAAATAGGGAAATAAAGTCTTTAATGCGTCCTACCCGATCCGCCGACCTGGAAACCCAAAGGCACTCTCAGAGCTGGCCGGACGCTGCGAGCTGGTGAAGAGCCAAAATGGGGAAACCCCCCACCCCAAAGCCCACGTGTCTGTCTTTATACTCACTTGGCTGCTTAACCCCACCCTCGGGTCCCAGCCACCTTCCCTTTGGTGGTGATGGGATTTGGAGTTCCCAGTGTCTTTGGCTTTGGCCTGGGGTGGGGGTGGAGTCCACAAAGCCTGTATGGAATTAGCTTTAGGACATCCTTTCCCCCCTAACACTAGATCCTTCTTGGGGCATGCTCTGACAGGGAGCATAGGGAGCCAGGGAGCCAGGTAAAGAGGAGCGCGGACCTAACTCTGCAGGAAGGAAGAGACTAGACACAACTCCAGTTAGAGGAAACACCGCAGTTTGGACTCCTGGTCACAAGGAAATCTAAACACAGGTTATTACTGAATTCCTAGTCCAAGAAGCCTCTAAAAAGCCTGCCCACACACCCAGCCTCAGGATGCTCTGAGGGAGCAACTTCCCTTCCTGCATCCATCCTGAAGTGGACCATGGTTCAGAGAAGTGTCCACTCTACAGGGGAATATTATTCAGCCATAAAAAGGAATGAAGTACTGATACATGCATGACAGGGGTGAACCCTGAATACATTACACTAATTGACAGAACAGGTCACAAAAGACCATGTAGTAAATGGATTGTATTGTATGTATGACTTTGGGAGGAAGAACAAGACCAGACCCCAGATACTGCAGAGCTTCCTAGGCCGAGCAACGGGTGCTGGCTTCTCCTGGGAGTCCACAGAAAACCTCTGTTTGCTGTGAGGCCTGGACTGGTCCAAAAATGCCAAAAAAAAAAAAAAAAAAAAGTGTGTAAGAACCTTATGGCATCAGACAAGGCCCGGATAGCACCCCAAATCCTGGGGGCCGCCTGGTCACCAGAAACTCTAACATGGCTACTGAACCTCATGCTAAGAAGGCAGGGCTGGCAGCAGAGGGCAGGAGACCTGAGAACTACCCCTCGTTCCACCTCTTCTCCACTGTGAAGCCCTAAAACAAGTTCCCTCCTTAGCCTCAGTAATGTCTGTTGTATGAATACATGAAATCTGCTTGTCTGAATATATTTTCTCACATATGCAATGAGAACTGTAGTGGTAATGCCCATGTACCAGTAAGTGTAGAACTACCTCTGAGATTGCAACCCTCAGGGTCTAGGTGCTCTACAGAGCGAGCTGCCTTATCTAGTTCCTTGCCATTGTGTTGTTTCCACTTTCTAAAACAGTTTAATTAAGGTATAATCCATATATCATACAACTCACCCATTTGAAATGTACACCTTAATAGTTTTTAGTATATTCAGATATGTGCAACCATAATACTGTCAATTTTAAAACATTTCATCACATCTGAAAGAAACCCTAGGGCCTCTCTGGTGGCGCAAGGGGTTAAGTCTCAGCATTGTGAAGCTGTCCGCAGCCACTGCAGCACGAGTTTGATCCCTGGCCAGGGAGCTACCCACACCAAGCAACAGACCTCTCCTGTCTCGCCCACTGCTCCCCTCAGCAGTGTATTTAGTAGATCTGCCTGTTCTGCTCCCCACTTTGGTGATCCTCTCACCCCTCCATCTCTGGCCTGCACCCCAGCTCTTGTATGCACAAATAAATAAATAAATCTTTTTAAAAATTTAAAAAAGAAACCCTATACAATTTGCTATCACTGCCCTATGTTTCCACCTGCATTTGCCCTTCCCATGAGCAACTACTAATCTGCTTTCTGTCTCTTCAGATATATCTAGTCTGGACATTTCATATAAATGGAGTCATATGACACATGGTCTTTTTGTGACTTGTTCTGTCAACTAATATAATGTTTACAGGTTTCATCCATGTTGTGCACGTATCAATACTTCATTCCCTTTATGGCTGAATAATATTCCACTGTATAGATACACCACATTTGTTATTCACTCCTCAATGATTGGCTTCAGGTTGTATCTACCTTTTGGCTATTTTGAGTATGTATTGTTTGGCTATAAATATGTATGGTATAGTGCTGTTGGCTATAAACATTCATGTACACACTTTTGTAGGGGACATATATTTTCATTTCTCCTGGGTATATATACTTGGGAGTGTAACTGCTGAGTCATATGGTAATTACATGTTTAATTGAATAAGGAATTGCAGGTCTTCAAAAATGGCTGCATGTTACATTCCCACCAGCAGTCGAAGAGGGTTCTGATTTCTTCACATACTGGACAGCACTTATTTTGACTGTTTTATTCTACGCATGCTGGAGGGTGTGAAGTGTATATTATATCCATGGGGTTTTGATTTGTATTTCCCTGATGGCTGACATGGAACATCTCTTCATGTGCTCTTTGGACATTTGCATATCTTCTCAGAGAAGTATCGATTCAGGTCATTTGCCCTCTTTTATATTAAAGCTTACTTATAATCATCATAATGATGTTTATGAGTCCATTTTAAAACTGTTATTTTTTTCCCTAGAGTTGTAAGAATTCTTTGTATCTTCTAATATCGTTCCCTTATCAGATATGAGTTGTAAATATCTTCTCACATCCTGTGGATTGTCCTTCACTTTCTTTATTTTTAACATTTATTTATTTATGCATAAAAGAGCTGGGGTACAGGCCAGAGATGTGGGGGGTGAGAGGATTCACCAGAGACATAGTGGGGAACAGAACAGGCAGAGTGACTGAAATACACTACTGAGGGGAGAAGCGAGCAAGACAGGAGAGGTCTGCCTCGCCATGTGGGTTTCTCCCTGGTCAGCCAGGGGATTGAACTTGTGCTGCAGAGGCTGTGGATTGTTTCATAGTGCGGTGCTTAACCCCTTGCGCCACCAGGGAGGCCCTGTCCTTCACTTTCTTGAGGGTACCAGTGAAGCAAAATTTTTTGATTTGAGAAAATCCAATTTATCTATTTTTCTTTTTTTGCTGGTGCTTTTTGGTGGCATAACTAAGAATCCACAGTCAAACCCAAGATCAGAAAGATTTCTCTCCACCACCATACTTGTGTCTAAGAGTTTGACAGTTTTAGCTCCTACTTGTATACCTTTGATCTACTTGAGATGATTTTTTGCATTATTGCAAAGATGATCCTTTCCCCATATTGAATGGTCTCAGCACTCTTGTTGGAAAACTATTGATCAGACACGGGCTTTATTTCTGGAATCTCAATTCTATCTATTGATCTATCTTGATTATCATTTCTTTGTAGTAAGTTTTGAAAATAAAATTGAGTTCTTACAAAAAATAAAAGTAAAAAAAAAATAAAAACTGAGTTCTACTTGGTTCTTTTTCTAAATTGTATTGGCTATTATGGGTTCCTTGCAATTTCATGTGAATAGTTTTCTGAGTATAAGTTTTATATGTATTTAGTTACATTTATTCCTAATTATTTCATTCTTTTTCATGCTATCATCAGTGGAAGTGATTGTTCATAACGCCCTTATAGAAATACAGTTTTTTTTTTTTTTTGTATATTAATCTCATATCCTGCAAACTTACAGAACTTGTTTATTAGTTGCAATCTTTTTTGGTAATTTTTTCAAGATTTATTTTATTTATTTATGCACACAAGAGCTGGGGTGTGGGTCAGAGGTGCTGGAGTGTGAGGATTCACCATAGACAGAGAAGGGAGCAGAACAGGCAGATTGACTGAAATACACTGCTGAGGGGAGCAGGAGGCGAGAGTGGAGTGGTCTG